TATAAAAGGCGGACAAAATGGACGGCAGTGGCCAAAACGGTCCTATTAGCAAAATAATCACACTGGCACTGATCGTTCGACAAAGGCCCGAACTCCTTGAGAATTTAGAAATATTCCTAAGTCAGCGTAATTTACAATGCTGAAAACATAGTTGGACGACTAGGTTCCGTTAACCTGATCCACTGTGGTTTCGTAATTGATAAATAAATGATTTTATAAAGTACTCTTCTGGGCCATGCGGACATTCTCATAATAACAAAAGCCGATTAACGCATTATGCTCGTTCGAAAATCAAATAGTTCCGTCACCGATCCTTTCTCCAAAAAGCTTTTTGGCTTTTAAGGCTATTAGGGCTTTTCAAATACAGTAATAGCAAGGAATGTAGTAATACTCACGTTAGTCGAATGTAACTCAATAACTTAAGTAATTTAAAAACTCAGTGAGTTACATCCTGAGACTGGACTCAGGATCTAATGATTTTTCTGTAAAATAATCGAAAAAAATTTTACATTTTGCTTTGGCAGCATTTAAACCTCACTAGAAAATTGTTGAACTGATAGTGTAACCCTGTTGTTGTTTAAGTGGCCTTCTCTATGCAAAAAGAAGCTGCTCTTTGTGAAAGCAGATTTTCCTTCAAGAAAGCACAGATTGTTTGGGTTTTCACCCTCTCTCGGACCTAACGCACGAACTCGATGTTCCCTAATAGCCATGAGATTCGAGAATTTTTAGAGTAACACGTACTATTTGCCTAGTGCTACTACATCAGTGCGGTCAACTTATGCTCACTTTTTTCGTTTCCATTACTATTTTATGGAGACAACAAGGGCCTTATACGAAACCACCGTATAAAAGGCTCATGACGGATAGCGAGTAAGGCTATTTTCAAATCACAGAGGAAGTCGTTGGGTATTTTTTCAAAGGAAAGTATTACAAATAAGCGTGCTCAGGCATTATGAGTCGTGTTACCAGTAGACCCTGCATTTTTTTCTCTGAAGCACTCACTGTCTGTATGAGGTCTTCGAATATCTCTGGGACTAGCCGGGTGCCGGCCATAGCACGGTGGCGTCCGTTAGACTTCGTAAAGGCTCAAGGTTGCATGGTCGGAGTGCAGCAACGTAAACGTAAAAAAAAAGCAAACCTCATGTTTTATTTCTATAGTTGTCTTTCGTTTCTGCTCGCCTTTTTCCTTATATGCCGTCCTCTACGTGTCCCGTCATTTTTTCTGTCTTCAGGGGCATGTTGCCTCTGCCGTTTCTTAGTTGCCAACCTAACATCTAACCGGTCTTACCCCCTCTTCTCTCCAATGCCGTGCATCGTGTTTGTTTTCCGCAAATCGTCAATGCTTTCCCGCTTTTCACTTTCTCCTACCCTTCCGTCTTCACCTGCGTTTTCAGTATTCGTAATATTCGTTACGCCTTGTCCCGCGCCCCGTGACCTTCTTTATGCCAGCGTCTTCGAGCTTGCTTTACTTTCCAATCCTGATCTCGTTATTTCACCCTGAGTTCAATTTCGCATTAATTTCGCCTCCTGTGTTGTCCCTAACTGCTTCACTTCGCGATCATGGTAGGCAGCGCAAAGAACATGATGTTCTATTATATTTGTTCGTTTGGTTCGGGAGCTCGCTGTCTAGGTGGTAGAGCTTTACGTTCTGCGGGTCTTTAGCGGTGACAAATATCTTTGTTTTCAATTGACGATGATACCCACGTATCTGCAGGGTCGCTACCTGCCCATCGTACAAGTACGTTTGTGACCAATTGCACCTCCGCTTGTAGACGGCCAAAGGAGAGACACCAAGAGAGAATCAATGTTTTGTTAGAAAAGCAAACGTTATGCATACGTTTAGTATGGATTTTTTTTCTGATAGTTTACTGGTTTGTTTCTCTCAATCAACGAATACTCTGTAGCGTTGAGAAAGCAGATTAGTTATGCTTGTACTGCCTGTGCAGAAATGCTTTCGTCCTTGAAAATTCTAGCTAATGTTCGGGATCGTTTTTGTGCTACAGTATTCACTGATACATGAGAACAAAAATAGTACCCTCGAGACTTTAATTGTGCGTAAATCTATCACCCAGCCTCAATTAGAAAGGTTCTTGTAAGTAGCGCGACATTTTCCTACCTCACGCTTCGTACCAACTATGATTCTAGGGGGTTTTTGTAGATTTAATAACTTACGTACAGGAGAGCTTATCGGATAAGTATGTTGCTTCAACTACAAACAGCACATAAGCAATTAACAAACTTATGTTTCTTACAAATTTTGAAAAATTAATAAAATTTTGCAATATAACTTTTGTGTTTAGCGCTGGAAACTCTTAGCATTCTTGCATCAGTAACTCCTCTAAACGATCACTAAGAGTCGCTTAATAGTGACTAATCGTGTTATCGCTTGGATGGGTACCCAAAGCGTAAAACGCGTTACGCAATAAACTAAGAATGAGCATTGAATTAATTGAAAAAAGGGTTTTAAAAAAATCATTGTTTTTATACAAGATCGTTGCCAAAAAATCTACCAGACATCGTTATTCTAGTCCTCCTATTTCCGCGTTGACTTAAATTTAGATCCTTTTCTAGCTATACCAAACGAACCATTGCGACACGAATGTAAAACTGTTCGTCACTTCTATTTCCAATGCTTAGACTACGATACCGACTATACCAGAATATCATAGCAATTGGTACAAAAAATACAAAATGCTTTTTTAGAAGTATACGTTCATTTATTAACACTTGGCGCTCTCATGTTCTTTGTTTTGTTGTTGCTTTTCATCAATGTTTATTATAGTCGTAATATTTCTTTTATCTTAGCATCGGCCGTTTTCATGTCAATGTCATCATGATCAATCATGTTCAATCTCAATGTATGCTATTTTCATTAACTCACCTGTTTTTTTTCGTATTTTTTCTTATCTCACCTGTCTTACGGCATCATGTTTACAGTCTAGTTATGTTTAGTACGGTAATGTGTGTGAGATTTTTTTGTGTGTATATTTGTTTATAATGCTCCTTCGTTCTCTTTTGCTGCCAGCAACATTGGTTGCACGTCCTATTTCGCGGATACATATATTCAGTGATTATGGGCCAACCACATTTCGCTTATGTTTGCCATCTATTACATGCCTTTTCCCTGCTTCTATAGTATGCCTTGGTTTTGTTACCATCATCTGTCTAGATGTTCTGATAGTCTTCGTATGGTATCGTTTACTGATGTTTTTTTTTTTTTTTGGTGTTTTCTGTCTCTCTTTCTGTACTGTTGCTTTTAGCGCGCATCATCGAATAGACGCGAACTCTACTTGACATTGTCCTTATCATTACGGTCAGGTGTGTATGCAGCAATCTCCTTCGAGTGCAATGGCGGCTATGGCGGGCACGGATGAAGATGCGAGTATTCCGCTACCAATAGCGCGCACATGATTGATCTTGTTTTCGAAAATTCGCGCCCATTCCAATATTATTATTTCATTTTTCCGTTAGCGGACGCCTTCTTTGCTAACGGGCTTTTTCGAATTCCAGCTACTGGAAGATGTTTCATTTTTTGGCGTACTTTTGATGCTTAGCTTTCTGTCTTTCGTTACTACTGTTAGCGTTATGAATAGCATTATTGTCATTGATGTTTTTGTCGTCCTGCTGATCGTTGCAACGTTGTTCGGTTGACTCTCTAGGCGGAAGTGTCTCGTCCTTTCTCTCACGTATGCTATTCCCCTAATATGTAGAATTAGTAGCTTCTATTAGCCTTGCGCCGCCATATAGTTTTAGTATCGGCTATTCGTTCATTTACTTAGTTATATTTATTTATTAGTCACGTTTCCGGCGCAAATGTCGACCCGGGCAACACCAATGGTACCCTATCTAAAAATCTGGTTCGAAAATCTTGCGCTAGCAAACATGCAAACATTAACACGCTGTTCTCTTTGTCCGTGTCATTACATATTATTTACGTCGGGTTTTTATTTCGTGTTTCACGTTCAACGTAACAATCACTCGACAAAATTATAT